TGGTGCCCTCCCGTTGCTGCTGCAACAACGAATAGATAGACAACTCTTCGGGATAGTCGATCGGTGGTTGAGAAGGTATCGAGGAAGCCTTTACGATAACGCGGGTGGTTTAACTTGATACGAACTGCTGATTGGAAACCTCCCTGCGCCACGACCAGGACATCGAAGGAAGAATAGAAGAGCTTGGTGAACGAGCTTGATGAGTGAACGAAACCCGTCAGCGGACCAATCGACAACTAACTGGTTTCACAGTGCCGTACGTTGCATTAATACGATGTTATGCGGGATAATTGGATATCGGCGGATTGCATCAGAGTTTTAAGAGTGACCCTGATGCGCGCATTTCGCTGGGGAAGCTCGTAAACTGATGTTAAAACGTTAAAATGTTATGATAATGAATTCGTAATAAAAAGCAATAATGAAGCTCATATTAAGATATTTATCGGCATCAGAATCACCATTAAAATCTTTCTAAGATCCGAAGATTATGAGCATCAATATCTTTAAATTGCTTATCAATTTAATTTGTGATATTATACTCCAATTCTGTTAGGATTGTTCGGGATCATTTCAAGACTGAAAATTAAATCTGACGCGCAATTTATAAGATTGGATATGTAATATATAAATTCATACCGAATTATTTAAACATTAGCTTGACTGTTTAGAGCCTTTATTCCCATACCGATACAATTTAAACAGTACTAACGAATATATAGTATCGATAGTAGTATCGAACCAGAACGTTGACAGTTTTTGTTCCGCACGCGACGCCTATTGTCACGCAGTAATTGGCAATTGACGTTGAAGCGTATTTTATGCTGTCGCAACATCGGTTTTCGATAGTGGACAGGTTGGGATGAGTGATGCTCTCTTTTTTGTCATCCCCTTGACCGGAATTGGGAATATTAACCCCGTTGCATTCGGCGGGTGTCTCGCTTAATCTAATTGTTGCTGACAAAGCTGATATATCACAATTCTGATTGGAACATCATGAAAAGTTGATATATCACAGAAAGCTAATAAATTTCGCAATAAATTTGCCAACCTCCAGTATATATCCTTAACTTTGTGTTATTAAAATATTTTATTATGTAAATAAAAGATTTGTACATCACAGTTGATTGTCGACCGCTACTTTCGAGACATTAATCGTGAATTAAAAGATCCCTGTGATTACAACAACTTTTACACGAAATAAATATTACACCGACTTTCGCTTTTCCACTTCTAATTCGCAAAGTCCAGATTCGCGAGAGACAGTAGTTGCTTTATTGAGTTCTTAGCGGCAGACATATAACGTATCGAAAGGCATATATCTCGGCAAAGGGAGGACAGTCATTAATGAGACACTTTCTATCTGCCATAAGTACTATCTTCTAGATAAGCAGCTGAATACAGCGAACTACTATTCCTCGAGATCTCGTTACATTACGAATGAGTACGAAGCTGCAATATCTCTCCTCCCCCCCCCCCCCTCTCTCTTTCTCTCCCTCTCTATCTATCTATCTATCTCTGTTTCTGTCTCTGTCTCTGTCTCTATTGTGAAGCTGTCAGGGAGTCGTAATCTGTTACGGCTGATGATCTTTGACCGCGAGTTTGCGCGATTACAGAATAATCAGCGCCAAGTTTTAGTTACGTTGGAAGTTCGTTTGGAAGAATAATTTGATTACGAGTTTGATTAACGAATTAAGTTTCCTCAGATATATTATAAAATATCTTACATAAGCAAACGCTGCCTCATCAACAGTATTTTTCCTGTACGTTTTCCGAAGTATGGCACACTCGGAGAAGATAATTACACTAGAAATTTAATAACAATAAGAGTTATAAATCTTGGTAGAGCTGAGGTAATTCGCAAAGCGAGAAGCAAATGAAATTACGAATGCGGAAGCCTCGCTCGCGCGTGATTCAGCGACGCGGTGCGACAAACGGTTGTCGGCTTTATTATAGCGAAGTATAGCGTGAGATCATGTTTATAAACGCGGCCCACACGATGGGGAATCATCAGTTTCTAAAATTAGTATACGACTGATCGTAAAAAACAACGGCGAATTTTGGGGCCCCGAGAATGAGCTCGTACTCCGAGTAATATACTTTTCCATTTTCAGCAGATGTCGACGTCTAGCCTAATATCAAAGCCAAAAGAACAATATTTAACATATGGGACAGGAAGATGAGCGTAAAAGGGTGGGTCATGAATATTCCATATGGAGAAGCAGGCATTGAAGCCTGAAAAAGAAATTACATACAAGATTCATCTTGTTTTGTTTCCAAGCCCCCAATTCTGTAACTCTTAATGACAGTAACGATATCGTTATGTTGTTATTGTGCGGTTTTTTTTGTCATGTAAAAAAATCTGCGCAACGACAATGTAACGATACCATTAAGAGTTACAGAATAAGAACCTTATTGTTGTTTTTTTAAAAATTAAATTTCCAAATTAATATTTTTCAGGTCCATTTACAAAGATATCGTGTACGTTCATCAACATTAATTGCTATACCAATTAGACTTGGCATCTCTCGAAAGTAAATTCCACAAATTCCACAAAATAGCGCCGTCAGGTTTAGCGAATTTAATCCGCGCGATACGCGGCCTTGCGATACGACGTAATAACTCTACGTCCCGACGACGATGGAACGCAGCTGTAATGGAAGCTGAGCTGGAATGAGCGCGGGAGTTAGCTTAATTGCGGCTTCGTTAAAGAGTCGGCTAAATGGTAGCGTTTGTTGCGTTTTTCAAGGCGGTGAAATAAATGGGGAAGGAGGCGAAAATAGGCAGACGCAAAAAAAAAAAAAAAATGACACGAAGATAAGAGACGGAACTGGAAAACACTGCTAGTCCTTTTACGCGGCGACGAAAAAGGGAACAAAAAGTTCAAAGAGGACAGAAATGCCGTGATTAGAGTCCCGAACGTGACGTTGAACCCGTCTCGAACGCGACTTCCGGACTCTTTCGAACCGGAATGGAATAAGATTAATACAAGGCGACTCTCTGACCGGCACTACACCTACACATATGCAAGGTGTATATTTAACTGTGGCACTGAGACGAACGAGCGAGTCTCGAGTTTGCGTCGCACTAAATCGAGATACCTAGGAATATCGAAATATTTTTGCCTCATTTTCATTAAATATTCTAAAATACTCAATGATTAAGAAATAAAAAAAAAAAGCTAATTAAAAAACTAAATAAGACTGCAGTCGCTGATTCCATCTCTTTTTATCAAAATTACAATGATTATTCGAAATAGCGATAGAAAAGAAAATTTAAAAAGCAATTAAAGAGTGACATATAACACCTATCGATTTAATATCGCGACACATATGAAATATTATGAATGAAAAAAAAGTGGATTGGCTATATAAATTGCCTCAATTATTCAGCCGCCGGATGCTGGTGAATTATGTTTTCTGGAGCTGGACGTCGCGTGAGATATTTTGCATACTCTTGCATAACTAACTCCAATTATATATCGCATCCTCGCCAAGGAAGTTTGACTCGCAGACTCCAGCTCCGCTTGCGAAAGCTCGAATGGCGGCGGCCTCCTAAATTACATCCCGCAGCTTGCGATGATGATTCATCGCTCCTAAACGCGAGTAAACGGGCGTGGGATATCGGCCGCGTTCTGTTTAACATCTCATCAAACAAACCGAAAAACGCTGCAGCCGCCGAAAATCCCTGGTATGCTGTAAATAAGATAATCCCTCACTGAAGTATATTACGAGAGCAAAGAAATAAATTCCGAAATGTGAGTCCGTTATGCAAGTTCATGAAAAAAAGATCGTCATAAATCAAAGATAATTACATGCAACTTCTGTACGAACGATTAATAAACATACATTAGTTAATGTTGCTGATTTGTAACATTTGAAGCTGGCAGGATTTTAACAGGATGAAAAGAATTACAAATCGAAGATTAAATGAGTTTATCAATATTCAATTACTTGTAAAAGGAAATTTACAAAAAGTATGATATAAAAGAAATTTGAGAGAACTATCTGACTTAAACAAACTAAACTTTTTGAAAACATTCTGTACAATCTAATAGAATGTAAAACGTATTTTGCGTGCGAATCAGAGAAAAAGAAGAAACTAATTTAACATTCTGACGAAAAGCTGTTTCGCGCAGAAAATAGAAGCCGCTCTCTTCTTTCTTCTCGATGAAACTTTTTCGGCGCAGCACGAATCGAAAGACGCTACTTCGGCGAAATCTAATGCGATAAAGCAAATGTTTGTTAAAAGCGAAGGAGGGAAGAGGGATCAGATACGTAGTTTCTCAGAACAACGATGTTGATTGGCGGCGAACATGCGCAGGCCAATAAAAATACTCGCGGCTATACCGGAGAGAAGAAATTACAAATGATTTCTATTGATAAAAATTATAGGTTACCACCAACAAAGCTCTCTTGGTTGTTTGTAAATTAAATAAACTATTTTAATTTTACATTTCCTTGTTTTCCATGTAAAAAAAAATGCAAACAACGCGTAAAGTTAAAGAGAAACGCACATAGGCCAATAAAAATATTTATTGAGAGATCAGAATTCTAATTAACATAATCAGATTCTTTTTCCACTGCACTATTTAAACAATAATTTATTAAAATTTAATACATTTTTCTCTCAATGTACGAAGAGAAGAAATGATCTTTATAAATTATCTTTATTAATCGAAATTATACCTACAACCTACAGAGATCTTTTTGGTTGTAATAAAACTGTTTTAATTTTAAATTAAATTATTTTCTTGTTTTTTATATTCAAAAAAATGCAATCACTGCATAAAGCAAGAGGGAGATGCGCCCTCGAGAGACACAGCACGAGACACGGAAGGGAAAAAATATGAAATAAAAGCTGCGGGCAAACGGGAAAGAGGGGTTGTGTTATAAAATGCAATTAGGTCGCATTACGCGAGAATGACGTGGCGAGATGCGGGGTGAGAGTGAAATTTAATTAAGAGAACCGAACTGGTTTCCGTCATCGCTGCTGCACGGAACCGGGCCAGTGCGCTGATTACGGAGAGGCAACAGAAATGACGCGGGAGTCATCGGTGTTGTCGGGTAGCAAAGTCTCGTACGAGAATGAAGTTACATCGATTGAAGTGCAAACATCTGAAGTCTGATTAGACCGTGCGAACATACATAGTTCTCGAGAGAGGAGGAAACCAACGTGTCGACGAGCGATTGCGATAGACGAATGGTGGCGGTGTGGGATGAGATGAAAGTGGAATTAAACAAAACTATGAATGAAGCGCTTTGCTAACGCTAGCGTGGGATGACAGTGGAAACGACGGGAATCAAATCAAATTGCGTTAAGATATACAAAAGAGATTATTTCGAATGTCCTCAATGTATTAAAGCAGTTGTCTCGTCGACAAATAAACAAATTGAGAATTTGTGATGAAGATACAAGATAATACAGTGCTATCGACTGAAGATAGCTCAAGGATGATAATAATAAATGCGTTAAATATTATATGAAACACGATTAAAATGATTTTTTTCTATGTAAATGTTGAACTTCAATCAGAGATCGACGTGCAATGAACGTTCGAAAAAATTAATTACGGATCATTATATATAGAATTACGACCTGTAATTAAGGACATCGTATATCGTATAAAAATGCATCATCGATGATGAAATAATTAAAAAACAACACGTAAGTTGTTGAAGTATACATTGCGTAATATATTCACACTGCGCAACCAACAACTTGTTGCTGTCGAATATCCTAGCTTGAGATACGACAAAGTAGCGGTATTCTACATCAAGAATATCTTAGCTAATTTATTAAAAAATAAAATAAGCAATTTGACGAGAGACTGCAGCTTTCAATTATTCAGAAATTTGATCAACGTAAATCATAATTATTCTTAGCGAACATTTCTTAATCTTCCATAATATTAGCTCAACAGAAATTTGACATCTCCATAAATATATTCCATTTGATTTTACGACTTACCTGACACTAGAAGCACTTCTCTGAATGTCCACATTGTTCCTCCTGGCGGCCTCCTCGAGAGTAACGACCTCCTGGCGTCTTCTCTCCTCCTCAGGCGGATGCAACGGTATGATAATATAGTCCGGCTCCTTCTTCTTGGCAATGGACGGCTGTTGTTCCTCCTGCGTTCTCGTTGTCGATTCGACAGCTTTTTTATGCGTCTCCGAACGTGGTACTTTTGTTCGACCGCTGAACCTCAATCTGGAGAATCTCTGCAGAAAGCCGCCCAAGCCGCCCTTCTTTCTTTCCTCGCTCTTCATGGCGGCGGAGGACGAGGACGTCGGTAGAGAGGTTGAAGAAACCGCGTAGATCTTCGCGGGTTCCCTCTTCGGGGCAACAAACGATGACCGTTTTGCGTTCGCGTCCCGTTTGTTGATGCTCGTCGCGCGTTGCTGCTCGTCGCCCTGACGTTTGTCACGATCACCACCGCGATGATTCGTATCAACTGCCGCCACGGCCACCGCGAGCTTCCCACTACTACGTTCACCGAGTGAACCCGCATCACCGGGTGGGGACTCAGAACCAACACCGCTGACACTGTGTCCCTCCTCCTCTACCTCTTTCTTTTCTACCGCCTCCATCCCGTCCCTCTTTTCTTCCTCCTTCTCCACTTCTTTCGTCGTCGTCGCTTGCTTCTCGATCACGACCCTCCACAAACGTTCGCCGGCGCCTCGATCGCTCGAACCAGGACTATGGGAACGGTCTTCGTGATCTCGATTCGATGATGCGTTCTCCGAGTTCACTTTCAACTCTTGAACCTCACTCTCGTCCGTCTGAGGAAGCTGTGCCACTCGTTCCGGATAAAACTCGCTGATAAAACTCTTCTTTATATCTTCAGTCTCATTTTCTCTTCGTTTGTTGGATAATTCTTCATCGATATAGGAGGTCACTGTCGAAGAATTTTCAAGAACACTTTTCAACTGAGTTGGCTTCTCCAATTCAATCTTCTCGCGCAAAACGACCCTAGTTTCCAAGCAGGATGCTCCTATAGGTTTAGTTTCCAAGCAGGGATAATCTACCTCGTCATCTAGCAACCGTGGACTGAGCACGCTAGCATCGCCACAAGCCGAAAATGGATCCGAGTTTTTTTTTATCTGACCGAAGAACGAGTCATTCTGCGGCTCGTTCAGCTTGGAGTCCTCGCTGATGTTCGTGTCGGAGCCCATTTGGCGTATCACGTCGGCGACATTTAGCCTTGA